TTTTGTCATTCTTCTTCCTTTTGAGTGATAAAATTGTGAACATCATGGGATATTTTAAAGTCAGTTAATTGATTTTTATCTTTTAAAAGCTATATTCAACAGAACAGAATTTAAATTTAAGACGTTCTTATCCTCTTCTTCAGTAAATTAACCTATAGGAGTTTTTCAATAAATCAATTTTAAAAGTTGGTGAATATATGTGTGCAGGTGATTATAGTGTCATTTTTGTAAAATGAAAAATTGGGGGAAAAATCATGTGTCTATCAAAATAAAAATAGTCATGTCTTTGTATCAATTAATTTTTGTCAGTTAATACCAATATATATGTTTATATAGGCTCAGAAAAAGATCTGGAGGAGCATATACTGTTAACAGTGATTATTTTTGGCAGGAGTCACTGGGTTATGGACCACAAGAGACCTTTCCATCTGGTTTTGTAATGTTTGAATTGTTTTCCTCAAGCATAGGTTATTTCTTTTTAATTGGAAGACAATAAAGAAGAATAATAGAATTTAACCAATGCAATGAATTTTATAAATTTTATAAATAGTTTAGAGCTAGCCTAAATATTTTGAAAAGAATGTGGATGAATATTTGAATATTCTATTCCTTTTGTGTGCTTGCCCTTCTCTGAATCATGGCAGTTGAAGCCTTGCCTCAATTCTTCTTTTTGTTTTGAGACAGAGTCTCGCTCTGTTGCCTGGGCAGTGTTGTCATAGTTCACAGCAACCTCAAACTCCTGGGCTCAAGTGATTCTCTTGTCTCAGCCTCCCAAGCAGGTGGGACTATAGGCGCACACCATCACACCTGACTAATTTTTCTATTTTTTGTAGAGACTGGGTCTCTCTCTTGCTCAGGCTGGTCTCAAACTCCTGAGCTCAAGCAGTCTTCCCACCTTGGCCTCCCAGAGTGCTAGGATTACAGGAGTGAGCCACCGCACCTGGCCTATGAAATATGTTTTAAAAAATTATGTCCATGAATGGATAGAGGAATGGATAGATATGTGATTAAGCAAGTTTGGTAAAAGATCAATGGTAGAATCTAGGTGGTAGGTATTAAAATGTTTATTGTAAAATTCTTTCAACTTTGCTCTATGTTAAACATTTTTCATAGTAAAATATTGGAAAAAAATTTTAACCTACATTTTAATATATTTAGCCCCAAGCTAAACATGTCATTTTAAAATGTGTTTGTTGACAAATCATACTTTTTCTTACAAAATCAAAGTAGTAAAATATATAGTGTGTGTCATTTGTTTAATGACCTGTTACATTGGAAAGTTTACTTAGGATGTTGACTTTGAAGAAG